AGCCGGGAGCGCCCGGTGGCCCCGGGGCTGCCCCTCGCCCTCCGGCCGCCGCGTTGCTGATGCTCACGGACCAGTCCTTGTTAACCCGGCTCCCGACGTACCTCCAAAAAAAAAAAAAAAAAGCCCCACTTGGATAATTAAAACGGTAAATCTAGCTTACTTTTCATTATCTTACTCGTTGTGTGTTTATATATGTAGATATTTATGGCTTATCTAGCTTCGTTTTATGATCCTTCGGGTTTTTGTTAATTAGCTTCTCTTGTGCTGTTGGAGAACTTGAAATATCGTTAGGGTTGGTGACGGACCAGAACTCAGTTTCTGCTTCACCCTAAAGTTGCTCAAAGGGGTGAAAATATTCCTGGTTCATACCAGTTTTGCCAATATATTTACTTATTTTTGTTAACTTGAACGTATATCAGATTTCATATGGCAGCATCACTTTGATCTTGCTTTTCCTTAGGTTGATTTTTGCCAATGTCACCTAATACAGCATAGATACGTGTTTGCTACACACATGTAATGCTGTATGCCGATTGATCTTGTATATTGTCATTCACATCTGAAAATCTAAGTAGATTTTGAATCTTTTCAGTTCACAATGGTAACAAGTGAATTACCTTCTGTTTCCATCCAAATTCAGCTTGTGGATCCTGCCAAAACAAGGTCACGAAAACCAATCAACTGATATTTTTCAGCAATGTGATTATTTATTTTCCACTTAAGTAACAGCAACATGCTACAGCTTATATAGCTTGTACAGTTTGTATAGTTTGTTAATCCAGTAGGCTTTTGTTTGAGATGTTAGTAGTTATGTACAGTGACTGTAGTAGAGGGATGTTTTATGAGACTAGGCAACACTAAGCTTTCTGTGCATTATGAAAACCAAGTTTTAGGAGATTACATGTCTTTGCTTTGGTATATATCATGATTTCATAGGCGTTTGTGCTCTTTAGTGTTAGCTGTTCACTCACTTGGAGTATTAACCCACAAGACATTTACCTGAGGAAAGCAAGAATGAGCGATCAGTTAAAAAACGCCAGTGCATGCACAAAGGAAAGACTACCTTCTTCTCATAAAATGAGGGAAAAGGAAAGTGTTAGTTGCATAGCTGGTAAGAATGACTGACCTGAACTTTGTTGCAAAATGTGAGCTAAACTCTTCCAAGTTTAACTCAGAAAAAAACTGAGCTTAGTGTAGACACTGTAGTGCTTAACTTCTTGAAAAGGGAAGAGACAAAATCAATTAAGAGAAGTCATTCGTATATTGATCTAGCTGCCTGCCTATACGTGTATGTGCATGAATACCTCCTGCACAAACACGTGTACCAGTGTGCTAGCGGGCCACGCACAGTACTTGTAATTCCAGGTTTTGAGCCACAGAGGACTACAAACAATGGTGGGGAAAGGTAGAAAGAGATTTACATCACTTAGCCTTGGTCACATATTTTAGGGAGCTAAGCTTGGTGGCTACTCTCTACAGTCAAAGAGAAAAGACGGGACCTCAAGTTCCCTTCAGAGCTCCTAGTATAGGTTTCTGATCTAAATTGCTGATTGCTGTGATTACACCTCTATTTAAACTAATGTGACAACTTATGTTGACCCATCATTTACCTCATTATTGTGGAAAATAGAGAATAATTCAGGATAGACTATGCATTAGTTGTTTACTTCTATTCTGCTAAATATTAAGATCTGTTGACCCAAGAAGCTAATATTTGCCTTAAAGGGTAGAGGTTATCTTTGCTCACAAACATAAGAACTGTTGCATGCTAACACCTCATACTATCCTTCTGCAGTGTTGCATTAAGAGGGAAAAATCAAAGTAGTCAGGGCATTGTTTCTCCTGCACGTAAGAGACAAGTGGAAACCACCTCAGAGAGGCTGAATGGTTAAGTGGCTGGTCAACAACGTTGCTCAAAGCATTAATAACTCCAGGGACTATTACTGTCCAAACAGCACAGAATGTACAGCAGGGACCTTTACATCAGGTTGTTTTAAGGTACCGCTTACAAGCGCACTACTCTTGGTACGCTTGTCCTCCGCCAATTACCAAATGTTCACAAACATGATAGCAATTCATCTGAAAAGTGCTCCTTTTTTTTGGCATGGTTTCTGCCAAAAGTCCAGCAAGACCAATTTATCATAAATATCTGAAAGTTTCTTCATTTTAATTATGGAGACTGAAATGTTAATACTATCAAAAAAAATTGTAATGAGCCCCAAGCCATTAAGAAATGTAAATACAATAACTAAAATAGAGTTTTAGGAAATCAGAAATTCTGCTTGCTTGAGAAGAGATTAATTGAGCCTCTGATGTTTTTATTTTTCCCAGAAGTTTTTTGCATCTGCAGTTAACACTGCCTTCAGTGAAGGCTGTAGGTATGCAAGTCGACTTCCTCATTCTCTCTTCCTTCCCCTCTGCTAGCCCCAAATAACCTGGCCTTTTATCCAGACATCAAATGAAAGGGCTAGCTGAATTCACTCAGGCAAGAGGCACTCGCTGCTTGGACAATTTGACTTTTCAGTACTGAAGATTTCACTAGAGCTGGGATTACAGACAAACAAGACTCATACTGCACATGATATCTCTCAGATGCTCATGGCATTTTGTGCCAGTTCCACATCTGACAGTGACATACCACTATTTTAGTGCTGAAGGGACAACAAGTATTTAAAATTCAGATTTCCTTTATAACTTACTGATGCATAACTGTTAGAAGTTACAGCTGAAGTTATTTGAACGGAAAGAGTAACACTTTTCCCCCTAGTTTCCTTAGACTACTCATTGGGAGAAAAAAGAAAACAACCAAACAAACAAAAAAAACCCCATTCACCTACTGCCAGGTTCAGTAGCTTGTGCTTGGTATTAGCGCGTCACTCCAAAAAAACAGAAAAGAAAAAAAAATACTAGATAGCTTCAAAATGAAAAAGAAACTTACTTTAGTACTTGAAACCAATTTTAATACCTTTGTCTTTTAAATAACTAAATCTCCACTTGTGGGTATACATTTAACCTGTGGGATAACTATAGAAACTGTTGGATGCAACTTGTGCTACAGCATCCTAAGTGATTGATGTTAGGTGTATAATATATAGCATTTTCAGTGTTTGATGGGTTGTAGCTTTTCATGCATTTAATTTTTTTTAATGTTACATTCCTGCCTGTAGGATATCTGTATAATTTATGATTGCAAACCAAGGTTAGAGATGCTCAAATTCAAACTTCAATTGTTGTGGCAATTTTTAAAAAATGCTCATTTACTTTGTCATAGCATTTGGCAAGGAAGAGCAGTCAATGTGATCCATTATTCAGCAACTGTTGTGTGAAGAACTGATTCTATCAAAAATATTTGCCCTCGTTATATTTTTTTGCCAACTAATTATATATATGAGACAAAATATTGCCCTCCAGTACTATGTCGTGTTTGCAATTGTAATAAAATTGTAGAAATTTCAATACAAGGATAAAGTAAAGTATTTTTTTCAGTTGACACTTGAAATCCATGGTGGGACAGTTGTACATGGCAACTGCTCCTGTCAGACGAGTGAGTCCTTCAGTGTATAGACTTTACATTTTAATTAAAATGAGGTTATATTTCAGAACATGTTGGGAATATATATAATGTATATTTAAGTTCAAGTGTTACTTTCATGATGGTCTTCACAAATCAGTGACAGAGCAAGAGAACAGAATTGATGGTCATTTCCTTCAAACTCTCTTCATACCTTCAGTCTTCCTTCAGTTCCTGGAAGAGGAAAACACACATGGGAGTGTGGTAAAGTATGCAGACATAGACCTCCAAACTTGAGTGTGGGTAAGAATTGATTTAATGCTTTTGAGTAGCCCTTGCCAACAGTAGGAGTGTATCAGATCCTGATATGGGAGACTTGCTCAGAAGCTGAAGACTTAAGACATTCATGTTTGACTCTTATAGCTGTACATGTCTACGCAGGTATTTGCAGGTTTTCTGCCAGGAGAAAGGCAGGAAGCCTGAGACTGAAGGGTGGATAGTTAGCTTTAAATAACAAGCATTACTTGTTCTACCATGAAGCATCAGCAGCTCAGCACCACAAAAGGCCTGAGCAAAAGACTCCCAAGTCTCTGTCTTCATACACAAAGAAGAGACTTTCTGCAAAGCACTCCTTATAATCTTGCCTTTAAAAAAACTATATTAGCATACAAGCTAGCCTTGTGGAATACATTTAAACATTAGCATAGTTATAGTTAGCCTAGTTAGCATAGTTAGCATAGTTAGCAAGCTAGCCTTGTGGAATACATTTAAATATTGTTTCTTACTGTCAAAGTACAAGCAGAACTTTGAAAGTTTTGTTTTGAAGGGCAAGCAGGGTCAGTTTAAGATAGGATTTACTGCAGTGAAGAAACGGCCACCTGAATTAAATTCTTTGACTATTACTCCTGAGAGATGGTCTGCCATCAACTAATTCAGTGTGCACTGCAAGAAAGCATTACTCTACCATGTTCAGTGACAGTGGGACTGTTTCAGGCTTTGACTGAACTGGTCCTTTGTTGATGGTGGAAAATACAAACAAAGGCTTCATAAAGAAGTGGCAAAGCACTCAGAAAGAACTTAGAAAGTCAGTTGGCCCACTAGCAAACACAGCAATTATGCCTGAGGTGCTAAATAGTTAAAGAAAAAATCATTCCCTGCCAAGGGAATATTGGATTGCATAGACAGTGACAGTCTTGAAGAAATAAGCTGTGAGGTGCAATAAGGGGCTAAGGTGATCTAGCTATCTGCTTGTGTGTGTGTGTGTATGTGTGTGTGTGTGTGTGTGTCTGTGTCTGTGTCTTGTGTGTCTGTGTGTGTACACATACCTTCACAAACACGTATACCAACTTGGTAGAGTCCAAATACACAAACTGAAATGAGTACAATGTTACCATGAATTATGAAGGAACATAGGGATGTGACCTTCTAGAGAAAGAGGAAAGGAGGGCAGAAAGGAAAACCAAAATAAGACAAGACAGGAAATCCACCCTGTAGCTTTTACCTTAGCACTCCTTTCAGTCACAGAAAGATCAGATCCAGACATGGATTTTGGACAGATTGGGGTGGAGGACTAAACTGGCTTATCTAACCAAGAAAAGCTCCTGCATGCGCAGCAATAAGAGGTGATTAGAGTT